GTAAACCAGGTCTCCTGAATCCCTGAGCTGGAGAGACCTCTATTATCCCTATTTTATGTTTGTGGAAGGGGTACTGGGAAGACAACACAATCAGGTATCCATTAAGCCCAGGCTGTGGGGTCAGCCACCTTAGCTTTGAACCTTGGCTCTGCCATTTACTGACTTTGTGACCTTGAGAAATGTGCTTTTGTGGGCCATGGTTTCCTCATCTATAAGCAGGGATCATAATGGCACCTGCCACCTAGGGTTTTTGTGAGAAATTAATGAGTTAAAATATATAAAGTGGTTAGAAGGAGACCTGTAATGTAGTAAGTGCTCAACATATGTTAGCTGCTGTCATTGTTATTTTTATTACACTGCCTCCCATGACTGGGGTAAGGATGAATTGAAATGCTCCTTGAGGTACATAAAGAAAAGAGTTTCTTAATCTCTAAGGTAATAGATAACAGCAAATAGATAAATTAAATATTACATATCCTGGACTGGCAATATAGAGTAGACTTTTCTAAGCTGTACTACTAAGGACCTTCCATACTGAAGCTAATTTTTCAGGTGGGCTGAAATAAAGGAAATGTCTAGAATATTCTGGGTGTAATTAGTTAGACATGCCTTCAAGGAAGCTCCCAAGTAAGCTTTTCAGTGGCATTTATCTGGCATATGTTGTCCTTGGCACATTGAGTTCACTGCTACTCTTGAGATCAGGAACCATCATTTAGGTCAGAGGGAGTTTGACTGCAGGGTAGTCAGGGCTGTGTTCTCCATGTGTGGGATTTCTGGAATACAGTTCAGGGACTATACTGGGAAATTTGCCTTGTTAGAGAGCAGAAAGTATACTTTTAGGCTCCAGAACAGTAGAAAAGTAGGCAAAGAAAAATGTGGGAGGTTGAGAATACCCAGCTGTGATGCTGGCCTTGGGTGAGTAGATGGATGGGTTGCTGAATGGATAGGTGGATGGGTAGATGGATGGATAAAAGGAAGTATGGAAGGAAGGAAGGAAGGATAGATGAATGGATGGGTGGATGTATCGATGGAAGGATAATTAGATAGGAAGATCTGGTTCCAAATGGAAATGCTTTCTGCTCTTCTGAACTACCCAACACAAGTGACAGAATTAGTGTGAGATAAGTAGACCTCAGAAGCTGAAATAAGAAACATAAATTTAATAGGGATCATTGAAGCCAGAGAGAGATGGAGTCCGGAAATGAATAGCACCTGGGAAGTGGTAGAGGAGCAAGGGAACTGGTGGTGTCTGTGAATGTGGAGGAATAGAGAAAAGCCTTAAAAATGGGGCAACATGGAGATCCTGGAGACAAACTTTAGCAGACATTCTGAACACTTAGCCATTTATGTTCTAAGCAACCATGGCATAAAGGACAGAGTAAAAAGAAGCAACTGCTTTGATTATCTATAAGGCTGCAGTAATTCTTTTTGGCCACTAGATGTTGAACTGTTTTTGTTATGTGCCCTTGAGTTGGACCCAACTCATACAAGCCCTCCTTGGGTTTCCCAGGCAATATCACTAACGGAAGTAGATTGCCCAACCTTCCATCTGAGCTAGTTGTTGAGACTACCAGGGAGTGGGGGGAACCTCACTGCCGTGGAGTCGATTCGACTCATAGCAACCCCTCCTTGGGTTTCTGAGGCAGTACCTCAACAGAAGTATATTGCCCAATCTTCCTTTTGAGGAGTGGCTGGTGGGTTTGAACTGCCAGCCTTCTGGTTAGCAGTCAAATGCCTTAGGCACTACACCAAACTTTCTGGCCCATTTACTTTGGAAACCATCTTAGTAGAAATGGCATAATGAATGGTTAAAGCCAGCAAAAAGGAGTCTTTGGGACAACTTCTAATGAACAAAAATGGGTGGATACAGAGAAAGGAAAGAAAGGGCTCCTTCCAAAACCCATTGAGGAAAAGTTTATTGCATTTTTAATTCACTTATTGTTTTGAATGTTTTGGAGGTTTTTGGAATGAAGGAAGAAAAGAGAAACATGATATTAAATATGTGGTTTTCTACATTAGCTAATATTCTCCTGAGTTTGTATGCATTTTGCTGAAGTTATGGTCAAATGAGTCATTTCAAAATTCTTTCACCCTCAGCCCAAATCAGGGAGGAGGAGAAGGATGATAGCAACTAAGGCCTACATGGCTCTTACTATTTTGTAGGTATTATTCTCAGCACTTTACAAAAATTAACTCATTTAGTCCTCACCACAAACCTATGAGGTAGGTGCTTTTATCCCCATTTTACAGATGAAGAAGGAGAGATTAGAGAGGTTCTGTGATTTGCTCAAGGTCACACAGTGGCTAAGTTGCAGCATCAGGATTCAGTCCTGACAATTGGCCCCAGCATCCGTATCCTTAACTACCATGCCCTACAACAAATCTTGTCCCCACTGGCTCTTAGCCTAAGGCAAAGGGAACTTATTGAGCAATAGATCAAGTCTATGATTTAATGGTAACAGTCATAGAGGAATCCTCTTTCCAACAAGTTCACTTCACAGGACTTGGAATGAGAATGAATAGTGTAATGGAGTTGGCTAGAATTCATTGTATGGACTCCCAGGTTCCTTAACTTATAGGGACTGGGTAGGCAGAAGCACATCCCATCCCTGGTGGTGGCTCCTGGTGGGAGCCTCTGCTTTATTAGTTGCTGTAATTATCCAAACAGCAAGAGAAGAGAATGAACAAGGGTCAGAAGCCATGGATTCCTTAAATGTCTTGAGCTTCTTAATATAGAGAGATGATCATAAACTTGATATTGCAAAGGAACAGTGTACTCCTAGTTGGAAACGAATTGGAGACAGAATGCTGCTGGCTTGGGACTGACTGCTCAGTCTTCTACTCTAAGGCAATCAGAAGAATTCATATCTGTAGAGAAAATGGTAATGAAATAAGGAAACAAAATGATAGTAGAAAAAGTGGTATATTAACAAGCATAAGACCAGATTTCCAATATGGTTAAATATACACTTACCATTTGGCCCTCTATTCCACTCTTAGGTATTTACCTAAGAGAAATGAAAACATATGTCCACATAAAAACTTGTACACAGATGGTCATAGCAAGTAGCCCAAAACTATAAACAAGCTAAAAAACCATCAATAGACAAATAAATTTGTGTATCTGATATATCTGGACTACTACTCAGCAATAAAAATGAACTACTGATACTTGCAACAACATGGATGAATCTGGAAAAAAAATTTCTGAGTAAAAAAGGCAAACCCAAGAGTTTATGACCTGTGATTCTTTTATGTGGAGTTCTGGAGCACACAAAACAAATCTATAGTGGCAGAGAAATATAGCAAATCAGAGGTTGCCCGTGGGGGTGGTGATTGACTGCAAAGGAGCATGAGGGATCTTTTTGATGGTCAGAAATGTTCTCTATCTTGATTGTGGTGGTGACTACATGGATATAAAGTCTGGAGAAGGCATTGATACACTGTTTGACCTTGGATGAGCCACTTTGCCCCCCTGGGCCTCTGTTCCCCTATATGTAGAAGCTGGTAGTTGGATTAGGTGATGCCTAAGATTTTTTCTGACTCAAAAATTCCCTTGTTATAACAGTATCTGATGTTTATTACAGAAGTAGAATAGTAAAGTGAAATTTGCTTTACAGGAAGTCATTTTGTAGCCAAACATGAGTTTGTTTAAGATATGGAACTACTACTGGGTTATCTAATATTGTCCTTTTGGGAACAGAAGGTCTGGTGGTGCAGTGCCTAAGGCATTTGACTGCTAATCAGAAGGTTGACAGTTCAAACCCACTAGCCACTCCATGGAAGGAAGATGAGGCAATCTACTTTGTAAAGACTTACTGCCTTGGAAACCCAATGGGGGTCACTATGAGTCAGAATTGATTCAATGCCAGTGGGCTTTTTGGTTTTTTTTGGGGGGAACAGAGCCACTTGTAGGCCGATTTTACTTAAAAGAACAGCTGAAAAATTATTCATAAGTGAGTTAAGCCCCATGAACACCTGAAGAGGGGCTTTCCCACTGATACTTGGGGAGGGAGAGCAAGAGTTACTTCCAGGGCTAAGGAGGACAGCCAGGGAAGGACCAAGTTTGGTATATCACCCCTGAGAACATCCAAATGCTTGTGAGTTGTGGTTACCCTTTTTAATTTCCTCTTTACTAGACTGTGCCTGGAACTTATTATTAGTTACTGTTAATTTGGCTCTGGCCCATGATGGCCCCCTGGACAGTAGAATGAAATCTTCATTGTCTTGTCCTACACCATCTTCATGATCTTTGGTGTGTTTGAGTTTATTGTTGTGGCTATTGTGTCAATCCATCTCTCTGAGGGTTTCCTTCAATTTTGCTGGCCCCCACTTTACTAAACGTGATGTCTTTCTCCAGCAATTGGTCCCTCCTGACAATGCATCCAAAATAAATGAGTCGAAGTCTTGGACAATATTCTGTGATGCATAAGGTCTTCATTGGTTAATTTCAGAAATAGACCTCCAGGCCTTTTTTTCCATAGGTGACCCTGCATCATAGCAAAAGGCAAGCCATCAAGGTACAACAAACTCAACAGACAGGTGATGGACCTGGTACTAAGTAAGAACTAGATGACAGGTCTCAATGATTCTGCTGATGATGATAATGATAATGATGGTGAAACTGCTGCTACCACTGCTTATCATCATTTCCAGTCCTAGAGAGTTTGTGAAAAATAAAGAAGTGTGAAGAAATGTTTAGTGTTACTATGGTAACCTCTGTGCTATGGGAATAATGCAATGTCTTTACTTTGCATTTTCTCTTTCCTGTGTTTTATAATCTTGTACAATGAGCAAGTACTGCTTCTATAATAATAAAAGTTTATATGAATTTTTTTTTTTTTTTTTTTTAAGTAGAGTACAGCCTCAGAGTGCAATTTGGGAAAAGGGCAGGGGCAGTTCTGACTGAAGTGCAGAACTTTGTAGGAGGCTGGAGCCTTAGGGCCAGCCCACACTGGGCCATAATAGGCTGCTGATCTCCTGTACTTCTGTGTCCCCAGGTCATGAAAACCTACCACATGTACCATGCAGAGAGCATCAGTGCAGAAAGCAAGCTGAAGGAGGCTGAGAAGCAGGAGGAGAAGCAGTTCAACAAGTCAGGGGACCTCAGCATGAACCTGCTCCGGCACGAGGACCGGCCGCAGCGCCGCAGCTCTGTGAAGAAGATTGAGAAGATGAAGGAGAAGGCAAGTAGGGACCCCAGGCAGGAAGGGGAGGGCCGTGCTCTGAGCTGAGGGCCTTGACCTTCCAAGTACCCTTCTGCCCTCCACACCTGGGGCTATGGTTTGGACAGATGCTGCCAGCACCTGCTATCTTAGAGGTCAGTGTCATGCAGGAGGGAGGGCTGGCCATGCCTCTGTGAGCATGTGTAAGGCCTGGCCTAGTGCCAGTCAACAGGCTGGGAGAGAAGCTCAGCTGATAAAAATCCTGAACTGGGATGAGATTCTCATGCAGTGAACACATTCTTGGTTTGCACAGTGGGAGTTCCTTAGACAATGGAGTGAGGTCTTGCTCCAGAGGTCAGTTTGGTGTCTAGGGGGCTGGTTGTAACTGAATGTGCCCTACCATAAGGGAACAGCACTAGTCTTCCAATTAGCACATGGGATCCTGCTGAAGGGCCATTCAGAAATTGCCATTTCCAAACCAAAGATTGGTTCATGTCTACCCAGAGGAGCCTTAGAAGAAAGGCCTGGCAATCTACTTCTAAAAAGCCAGCCATTAAAAACCCTGTGGAAAGTAGTTCTGCTTTGACACACATGGGGTCACCATGAGTTGGAGTTGACTCAATTGTTCCTGGCTAGGGCATGGTGGAGGGAGGGCTGGCTTTGGAGTCAGGCTGGGATTTGAAAATAGAGGTAGTCCGTGACTTATGACATATTTGAATTTTGATGAACTACACTTATAATTCACTTTTTTTTTTTTTTTTTTGGTACATCTTATCATTAGCACTATGTTGCAGCATGTAATTTCCTGATGTTAACATTCTCAGATGTTCATTTGTATGTGCTCAATTTTATGATTTACTGTTCAAAACACTGCTGGATTTATTAAGACACTGAAAATAAAAGATAATAATAATGAAAAATGAAAAAAAAAAATGAGGTATTTGACTTATATCAGAACTGACTTATGACGGAGTTATCAGAACAGAACCCCGTCACAAGTTGATGACTACCTGTACCACATTTACAACGCCTCTCTGAGCTGCAGTTGTCAAACTTGTATAGTAAATTCCTTGGACTATTAACAGATAGTTTCATCTCTCATATCAACTCTGATTATTAGTAGCGACTGCCCAGAGCACTGTGTTGAGGATTGTGCTTTCATATCCACACTTAACTGCTGTGATCAATTAATGATGTATATCATGGTGGGAGAATGTAGAGGATAGTGCACACACTGTTATTTGGTCATTCCTAGACTAGATGACTCCTAATTACTTTCTTAAAGGGTTTTCTTATTGAATTCTCTGTCTCCATTCATTCCATGCAATCAACAAATATTTCCTGAGATCTTTCTATGTGTCATACATTGTGCCAAATGTTATGAGTGGCTGTAGTCTAATTCTATGCTATTGTGATCCTTTAGCTCTAAAAATTATAGGAAAATGGATGGGAATAAAACCCAATAGAACCTGGGTAAACTGAAAAAGTGGCTGGGGCAAATAGGATAAAATTACTGAAGGCAAAGAAAAATATGTTTTACAATAATCAGTCAGGGGCCCAATTAAAAACTGAGCAAAGGATTTGAATAGACATTTCTCCAAAGAAAATATATAAGTAACCAATGAGTACATGAACAGATGCTCAACATCAGTAGTCATTAGGCAAATACAAACCAAAGCCACAATGAGATACCACTTCCCACCCATCATAATGTGTGCTTAAAAAAAAGGACAGACAATAACAAGTGTTGCCAAGGATGTAGAGAATTAGAACCCTCAAACTTTGTTGGTAGGAATGAAAAATGGGGGAGCCAATCACTTTGGAGAACAGTCTGTCAGTTCCTCAGAATGTTAAACATCATTTCTGTATTACTCAGCAATTCCATTACTAGATATCTGTCTACCCAAGAGAAATGAAAACATATATCTACCCCAAAACTTGTATACCAATGTTCATAGCAATATAATACACAATAGCCAAAAGGTGGAAACAGCCCAACTGTCCCTTAACTGATGAATGGAGAAACAGAATGTGGTCTATCCATACAATGTAATATTATTTAGGCATAAAAAGGAACACATTCTGATACATGCTACAGCATGGATGAACTTCAAAACATTGTGCTAGGTGAAGGAAGCCAGACACAAAAGATCACACACTGTTTGATTCCATTTATATGAAATGCCCAGAAGAGGTAAATCTATAGAGTCAGAAAGTAGTTTAATTGAAGATGGAGAATGACTGCTAATGGGCAGTGGGTTTCTTTTTTGGATGATGAAAATATCTAAAGCTAAATAGTCATGGTTGCACAACTCTGTGAAAATACTAAAACAAAAAAAAACAAAACCCAGCAGAGAATTACAGGACTAGGAAAGGGAGATGCATAGAGAGTAGATCAAGTACTAGTTGGGGAGTTTGGAGGTTAATTTTAAATTTAGATTTATGTGCTAATTAGCCATTCTCTTGGTCAAGCCACTTTTCTTCTGTTCTCATTTCCTCCCCTATAAACTGGATGAATTAAACTAAGATACCTCTAAAATCTTTTGTAGGTATAAAATTTTATGGATCCATGAAAGGCTGAAAAATGTCTTAGAGTCATAATGGGCCACTAGAAATGAGCCAAGAGTATCCAAACTCTTTGTGGGGGTTGGGTACATGTCAGGTAACAGGTGTAATTGCCAGGAGTCTCTTTCTGGAAGTGCCCAGAGTAAGAGGACCTGCAGAAAGGCCAGAGGAATCTCTGAAGAAAATTAAAAGGTTGACCAAGGGGACACCTCTGCTAAAAAGCTAAGAGAAGTCCAAGTGGAAAAAAGAAGATTTAAGATTGTCTAGGTAAGGGAGGAAAATCCTGATTCTTTAAGGAGGCATATCCTTTTACCTTGCTAAGTGATCTACTTCTAAAAGATCACAACCTTGAAAACCCTATGAAGCAGAGTTCTTCTCTGTCACATACGGTCACTATGAGTCGGAATCAACATGAAGACAATAACAATAACAACAACAACATCTTTTTGCCGTAGGTGTCTGTTTTACTTTAGGACTCCCTAAGAGTCCCTGCAGATGTTATAGTGCTTGACTACTAATCAAAAAGTTGGAAATTGGAGTCCACGCAGAGGTACCTGGGAAGAAAGGCCTGGCAACATACTTCCAAAAAACCCTAGAGGAGTGCCTGCTTTGATGACTTTTATTATTTTATTTTATTTTTATTGTGATTTGGGTGAAAGTTTACAGAGCAAATTCACTTTCTATACAGCAGCTCACAGACACTTTGTCTCATGACATTGACTGCAATTTCCCACAATGCAACAGCTTCCCTCCCACTTCCTCCCCATAGTTACCTCTTCCCTGTGTCCTTCTTTCCATGCATTCCTGCCTCCTGAGCTGTCTCCCTGTACATACACAGCCCTTCTATTCTCCCATGATTCATCTCACCAAGAAGTGTATCTACCTAATGTAAATGTTCAGCTCATATGCCTGTCTTTTGTTTGTCTGGAAGGCACAGGAGTGGGTTCAATTCCAGACCTGAAGGGCAGCGAGGGTCCATAGTCTCAGGGGTTCCATCAGGCTCAATCAGACCAGCAAACTTGGTCCCCCTCCGTTTTTTTGTTTTTTTTTTTAAATGATTTTGAGGTTTGTTCTACATGCTTTTACCACTTTCGTTGAATATAGTATTAGAAGTCCTAGTCAGAGGAATAAGACAAGAAAAATAAATAAAAGATGTCCAGATTGGAAAAGAAGAAGTATCTGTTTGTGGATAACATGTTCCTAAATCAGACGACATATTTCACTGGGCAAATCTGCTGCAAAAAACCTCTTTAAAGTGCTGAAGAGTAAAGATGTCTCCCTGAAGACTAAGGTGTGCCTTACACAAGCCATGGTGTTTCAGTCACCTCATATGCATGTGAAAGCTGGACAATGAATAAGGAAGACCAAAGAAGAGTTGATGCTTTTGAGTTGTGGTGTTGGAGAAGAATGCTGAAAGTACCATGGACTGCTAAAAGAACTAACAGATCTGTCCTGGAATAAGTGCAGCCAGAATGTTCCTTGGAAGCAAGAATGGCCTGACTTTGTCTCACCTATTTTGGTCATGTTGTCAGAAGGAACCATTCCCTGGAGAAGGATGTGCTTAGAAAGGTCATCAAAAAAGGGGAAGGCCCTCAACAAGATGGATTGACACAGTGATTGCAACAATGGGCTCAGGTATAGCAAGTATTGTTAGGGTAGTGCAGGACCAGGCAGTATTTTGTTCTATTGTATAGAGGGTTGCTATGAGTTGGGGCTAACTCAATGGCACATAACAACAATAACAGTATGTAGAAAATTCCAAAGAGTCCACAAAGAACTTCTAGAGATATAGAGGAATTTAGCAAAGTTGTAGGGTAAAAGGTCAACAAACAAAAATCAATTGGGTTTCTATACACTAGCAATGAGAATTCTGAAAGGGAAATTAGAGAAATGATCCCATTTACGATAGCATCTAAAAAAATAAAATACCTAGGAATAAATCTAACCAGTATGTGAAGGACTTATAAATGAAAACTATAAAACACTGCTGAAAGAGATTAAAGAAGACTTAAATAAATGCAAAGATGTTCCATGTTCACAGATTGGAAGGCTTAGTATTGTTAAGATGTCAATACTAACCTAAGTGGTCTTTAGAGTCAGTGTTATCCGATTAAAATTCCAGCAGCCTCTTACAGAAGTAGAAAAACAAATCCTCCACTTTATATGGAATGGCCAGAGGCCTTGAATAGCTAAAATGATGTTGAAAGAGAAGAACAAAATAGGAGGTCTCATATTTCCTGGTTTGTATAACCCTCAACATATCAATGGAATTGAATTGAGAGTCCAAAAATATTCCCACATATCTATGGTCAAACTATTTTTTGACAAGAGTGCCAAGTCCATTCAATTTAGAAAGAAGGATCTCTTCAATGAACCGTTCTGGGAAAATCTGATTTCCACATGCAATGAAGCTGAAGGATGATCTGTGCCTGACACCTTACACAAAAACAAATTTA